TCCTTGCCTCTCCTTGCCTTCTCTAAACACTAATCCTTGCTCCAGCTTGGCGGCTGTTTTCTCCTACATCTGTACTCTTTCCAGCTCATTGATAGTTTGGGCATTTGGGGATGCAGCAAGGAAGTTTTCCTTTAGAGCAGCCATTCATTGTGTCTTTATTGTTATGTGACAGTCTTCAGCTCCTTGAATATATTTTGCTTGAATAAAGCAAACGCACTAAATGAGTCTCCACCCAACATTGTATCTTCCTTCTAGAGTGAAACTATGCAGCTTAGGTTCAATAGGTGTACATGCAATTAGCATGTTGGAGGGTACTTGAACCCATTGGGTAGAGTCATTAACACTGTAGGAACACATGGAACATTTAAACAAAATGTCATTTCTACTGAAGCAGACAAGACTACAGCCATCCTGGGAAAAAACTCAAGATTTTAAAAATAAACTTATCACTGTTAGCATATTTGTGGCTTTTTGCATATGCTCAGGGTGTGTATTCACCTTATCTGTCTGTATGGCCAACTGGAAGAAAACTGACAGAGCATTTCACTAGGCTCCTTGTCAGTAGAATGAACAGGTCTATTCCACTGAGTTTTTAATTTAAGCCTCACAGTTTATTTTTGTTATTTTTCTGCTTTCATAAACACTGCCTAAGGGCATGGTTCCAGTGAATACTAAATAGAGGCTTAATTATTTCTCTCTTTGTTCACATTTATTGTTGTGTCGATCAAACAACCTTCATATATTCAGTTCTGATTGAGGTATGTTATTTTGTTGATTAGCATTAAACAGCATAATTTATGAATTGTCTGAAGTAAATAAATAGTTGAAGTAAAAGAAAGTTATAAATTAATTTCAAATTAAGCCAGAAATGATTCACAGAGGTGAAAAAATACTGATGACCTTGAAAAATATTCAAAACATGTCATAGTGAGAGGCATCATGTTAAGATAGTAAGCGAATGTTGGTGCTGAGCAGAGAATGATAAGAGTGTGAGCCCACTCTGTTCAGAAAAAAGAAAACTAACATTAAGCATACACGTATAGTTTTGACTAACAATCCTATGTGTTGACTTGCTTAATTTCCATAATACCTGCAGAGAATATAACCTCCCAACATGGGACAATGAAACCACAGAAGTTCAGTAAAGTCCAATTTGTTTCTGAAGCTCATTGTAGTGGGGAAATTCACTGTGAGATTTATTCTTCACACTGGGAAGGGAAAGCAGTTTGTGGTGCTAAATTGATAGCTATGATTTTTTTTTATCACCTGAACACAATACACAAATATTTATTTCTCAATAACTGCCTGTGTATATCTATGTTCTTCCAGCATCAAAGTTGTCTAAGAAAAGAAAACCTTGTTTTCCAGTGACTTACTGTGTACTATCATAATTGCAGAGTTTAAATCTATTTTTCTTCTTTTACAAAATTGTCTCTAGAATTTTTTATGTATTATGTTTTATTATACATTGCATAGCTATGATTTTATCACCCAGCCTCTCCTATGGTCCTGCAGTGGCAGAACAAACTGTTCACTTGCTGTTTGTAGTTCACTGTCCTTGCCTGACCATCTTTCTCAAGGTAGCTGATGGGCTCTACAAAGTCAGGACACCCCTCTCCAAACATACTCTTTCCTGGAGACTTTTTGAGTAGAAGGTTGGTAAATGTCTATTGTATTGTCTTTTTATGTTGAATATTATAGAAATAAAAAAAAATACTGTTTATAAGAAAAGTCTTTATTTTCAATTTAAGCATCACTTTCAGGCCAGAAGTAAGTAACATGAATTAAAGATTTGCTTCACCTCTCTTCAAATATTTTTTTATATTTTAATAACAGTTGCAAAAAAACCACAAAAACCAAAATGTATTTTTTAAATATTTATTTTTAATTAATGCATATGTGTGGTGTGAGGGTGCATATGAGTGCAGTTGATCATGGAGGCCTGAAGAGGTCTCCATGTCCTCTGTAACTGAACTTACAAGTTAGAGTTGTAAGTCTCTTGGCATGAGTTATGGGAACAGAACTTGGGTCCCTTGGAAGAGCAGTACATACTCTTAACCACAAAGGAGCACATTCTTAATGCTAGACTTTCCAGCTGGTATATGTTGATAAACTATGAATTCTCATTTGTCAGTGGTGAGATAAAGAGGCAGAAATCACACACACACACACACACACACACACACACACACACACACACACATACACACACACACACACGCACAGTAGTTTTTACTACATCAGCAAAGATGCTGCCTCTTTACAGGTATTCACTACTGTTGTAGGAAACATTTAGGACACATGTGCTTTTCAGATGCTTTAGTACTTGTTGATCTATTTCTTCCCCCGGGACGGTGCAACTCATAGAGATTACCAGGAAATCACATCTTTTATTGGATGACACCATTTAGCACAGGCTAGCTCACTGACTTAACATTTGAAACCACAGTATAAGATAAGTGCCTCTGTTATCACCATCTCATTTCAGGTCAATAAATCAGAAATCCCAGGACAAAGTTATATCCCTCAAAGTTACTGACAAACAAGAAAGTACGAGAGGTCGCATGCATACTTCTGAGATGCTACTGGTGTTTTTATTCAAAACTCCCTTAATTTCTATCCACTCCTTTAACTTCTCTCTGCCCCTTACTATAACCCTCTCTAACATTTCTTAACATTGCCTTTACTAACCCCCTAAATCTCTGACTTCTCCTTCCTTTTCTGTTTCTCTGTTTCATTTTCAAGTTTTTTTTTTTCTTTATATCATTAGAGTCCTCGGGAAAGAGCAGAAGCATTCAGTTGAAATTTTAAAATAATTTAATTAAAAGAATCTGTAGAAGCCTATAGGAAAAGCCAAGGTAGTTAATAGGAAGTGAGACAGATACACAAGAGCAGAAGTAATGACACCTCTCCCAAAGCATGAAGACATAAGGAGGAAAATGGGAGTAAAGGACTTCATGTCTGCAGTTCAACTATCAGACTATTTTAGTAACTGTCAATGAATATTAACTTGGTGTGTCACACCGCATAGGTAAGAACTTTAGAAGCAAAAAGAAGTTCAAAAGCTCAGATGTACCCGACAGAAGAGCCACCCCTGAGAAGGACAGAATGGGTGTCCCACTCTTCCTCCTATCAGCCAATGAATCTGTAGTCTTCCTCCCTCCCTGGTCAGCAAGAGAATCAGACCAACAATAAAGTTAAAACAATTTCTTGCTAGAAAGCAAGATTTTTCTCACACATTAAAAAAAAATTAAGCCTTTTTACCAGTTTTAATTAGCCCTTAATTACCCAATTCCTATGGGTTTCTTCCCTGCATATCAAGCTTTCCACACTGCAGGGATATTTTTGGACTGGCTTTCAGCCTATGACATTGCAAAGGACAGGGCCACTGAGGGCATATGACAGTGGATGTCTCCTGTTTCTGTGTTAACAGATAGTGTTCTCTGAATCCCACACGCAAGAGATCAGCTAAAACACAAATCAAATTAAATTCATTTCATCCCTTGTGTACAATATAAATTCTGAAAGGGCAGTGCCTACGGATCTATTTTTCTTCTCTCTCTAAGCCCTTCCATCATGTACAAACACCCTGAAGCACAAAGAATTGGTGGTTATAAAAAAAGGTAAGACAATTACTGGAAAGTCTTTCTAAAGCATATATACGTATACGTATATGTATATATATATATATATATGTATACATATATATGTTTACAATGTTCAGAAAAAGTATATGTTGGAACTTTTTATTTATTTATTTTCTTTTTTATTGATTTATTATTTATTACAATTTATTCACTTTGTATCCTGCTGTAGCCCCCTCCCTCTTCTCCTCCCAGTTCCACCCTCCCTCCTTCTTCTCACCCTAGTCCACTGATGGGGTAGGACCTCCTCCCCTTCCATCTCACTTTAACCTATCAGCTCTCATCAGCACTGGCTGCATACTTTTCCTCTGTGGCCTGGCAAGGTTGCGCCCCCTCAAGACACAGAGAGGGAGAGAGGTGGTCAAAGAGCCTGCCACTGAGTCCATGTCAGAGGCAGGCCCTGCTCTCCTTACTAGGGAAGCCACATGGAGATTGAGATGCCTATGTTCTACATCTTGGCACATTTTAAGCAATCACTTGTGCTTTAGTTTGTGTTAGACAATTTCATATCACAAGGTATCAGCTAAACAACCAAAATCATGAAAATAATTTTCTTGAAATATATTTTGTATAAGATTCAACTCTTGCCCTAGGGATATAAAGTAAATAAACTTAAATAATAATAAAGAAAAAAAAAGACTTAACTCTTAAAGCATTTTAGTAACAATCAAAGTATATCACTTTGGTGAACCAAGATATACATTCAGTTACAGGGGAAATCACAAAGTTCCTGGAGAAACCAGAACCGCTAACCTATTATTGTAAAACCTTCTTTGATAATTGGCTTTTGCTGACAAGGGTAAAATCAAGTTTTCCTGTTCACAGGTGCTTTAAAGAAAGCATTTCAATAGGCTTTCCACCAGAAATATCTTTCTAGGGAAAGGATTTTCTGCCTTTATTTCAAAGCTTAAAGAGGGGAAGGTGGAGAGTCCTAAAAATTAAACTATTTCTATTGATATCCAGAATTCTAGAAAACATACACTTGGGGAAAATGTTGTTGCCTGAACGTGTTTTTAACTCATCAAAGATCAAGAAATCAAGCCTGACATGATGGCATGGACTATGATTGTAGATCTGCCTTGAGAGCTTACTAAGGCTCAGTCTCAAGTTAAGTAAAAGGAAGTCTGGGACTTGTCTAGCATGTGGGAGGCCTTAGGCTCAATTCCTAGTACTGGGTAAAAGAAAAAGAGTCAATATACCAAAGCCTAGATTCTTGCCCACTTCCTTAGAAACTTGGTTTTGAGGGTTTGAAGAGTCTTCTGTTAGACATATTTGTTTTCTTTGCTAAAGATGCCCTTTCGTTTCTTGTGAAATTTTGTAAATTTCTTAGTACATTTCTTCTTTCCTCCTCTCCAGGTCATGGGTTTGGTCCATCAAAGATGTCCAGGGCACAGACATTTCCCAGCTATGCTGCAGAGCAGAGTGAAGAGGCTCAGCAGCCGTTGTCACGGTCCAGCAGCTATGGATTCAGCTATAGCTCCAGCCTCATTCAGTGACACACAGAGGCCACCAACAACCAGCAAGACAGTCTGCCCTGGACCTGCCATGGGGTCATTTTGCCCTGTGCCTCCTGGAAGACCAATTGCAGTACAAATTAACATTGGTAGGGCCTAGCCCCAACTAGAAGGTTAAAAACTGGAGTTCTGCTTCCTTGATTCAGTGGTTAAGTCCTTTATTTATTGAATTTCTATGGGGGAAATCTATGTTTTACAAAAAAAAAAAAAAAAATAAGAGTCCAATAATGTGAACACTCATTTAAAAAAGAAAATACTTTGTGTCTGACAGTAGCAGAAGCTTTGGCACTGGGAAGTCTTTCCACTCTAGTTTGAGCCTGGGAGGGGACCACTGATATCTGTCCTTAAGGCTGGGTGCTCATGTCTGGACACATGATAATGAGTCACCACTGCGAGCCCTATAGCCTTTTCAGTTTTCAAAGAAACAAGTCAAGTAAGCTCTACAGACAGTGTCTTAACTCTCCATGTAAGGAAGTCAGTGACAATTAAGGGAATGTGAAATTAGAATACTCCATTCAGAAGAGGCCTGTGTGTGTGTGTCTGTGTGTGTGTGTGTGTGTGTGTGTGTGTGTGTAAAAGTATAGCCGTGGATATTGTCATATCAGTCTATAGATAAGAATATCAGGAGTGCTGAGGGTGACATGATATGCTCACTTAAATTATTGAAAACTAATTTGTTGCGTTAAAATTAAGATTGTTATGTCAAATAGCTTTTTTTTAAAAATAGTGCTGTAGAAAATGAAAAAGGCTCCTCACTGGCAACAGTATTTCTGTAGTTATGAGGAGTACAGAATGAAACAAAAGAGGAAAGGTGTTTTGGGAGTAAGATAACGGCCTAGCTGCGCTGCCTGTTGTTGTCATGTTGTGTGTCTGGTTAGTGTCGTGTGGCCATAGTTTCTTCCCTTGGGCATTCATCAGAGCTGCTTGAGGAATTGGAGTAATCTCCAGCTCCAAAGGGAGACTACAGAAGTTTGAGAAAGACACAAAACTAAGCTTAAAATGAACTCAACATTCTTGCAGTCAAATGAGGAACAAATGATACACAAAAGGGTCATGGGGGCTTGGAGAGCGCTGTGTAATCAGAGCTTGCTTGGATTTAATTTTTCTTGTACTTGATTGGCTGGGATGACATGAGAAAATGTTTCATTTGTAAATTTTTTCAGCTCTAGAGTATTACAGATTACCAAGTTTGAAGGGAAACAGGAAATTCCAATCTATGGGGAAAAGTCTGGCTAATTCAGGTCAACATAGATATTTTTGCCCACAATTTAGGGACTGAAATGTAAATTAATCTGCCTAAATCATCTGATTTCATGTCCCTAAACCAGATATCCACCAAGGAATCCAGATCAGATATAAAGAACAAAAAGCCAAGGTCAGGCAAGGGGAAAACCTGATTTTTTTTTTCCTTAATAGCGAAATGTTCTACTGAAATCAGTCTATTAAAAGGGTTCCTTTTCGCTGACCCTTGTTAAGATATCACTCATCCTTACCCATAGGCGGAGAGCATATTGACAACTCATTTCAGTGAATTCAGTTGAGTAAAAGTGCTTATGCATCCCTCCTTGATGAATGTGCACTTACTGTAACTACCTGCACTCCCCAAACAGATAGATATGAAAACCCCATAAAGACACTAATCATAAGAGTTAAAATTGCTGTGAAAAATAATTATCTCGAGCCTTCAGGGATAAAAAGAAAATTACCCAAACTCTGCTGTGGATTTTGCTGACACAGCAGAAAAGCAAATGACTGGATCCTTGTGTTGAGAGAGGATACAGACTTCCCTGGAGTCCCACTTGTCAGGGCTAGCGCCTCTGCGCCTCTTTTAACACATGGCATCCACTGTGGTAATGCCATTAGTAAATACACCAGAGCAACTCCGAGCTGAGACCATTTTAGCACAGTTCCTAGTGTGGCCATGAGAGGGAGACTCTTGCTAGCCCACTGAGTTGAGCTGTTGCTTAGATACCACAAGTTTCTACAAGGGACTTATGGGGAAAGGCCCTGAGGGGTCTTGGTTCACACCTCAGCTTTATCAATGTGCCCGAAGCACATATAGCAAGTCGACAGGATTCTGCTAATTATGAGTCTGCTCTTGTGCCTCTTTGGTGGGAGACAAGTAGCTTCACCATTTCATTCTGATCATCAACAATGAGCATCATTGACAAGGAACCAAAAGTCACACACAAGTTTAGAACGTTGTATTTTTTTTTGAACGTTGTATCACAAAAAGAGTGTAGGAGACCTGTACCTCCTTAGTGTTTAACACAATCTCATTATAGTGAGAATAATACTGTAAAATATTTCGTGATACATTTTTGGAGCTTTGTTCTAGCATTCTCCTCCAACAATACTTAAAATTTTCAGCTAAATCAAATCTGCTAAGAAAATGAGTAGGAGAATTTATAGTAGCCCAATATGCTTGACATGAGGCAGTGTTCATTTTAATAGAAAAGACAAAGATGAACCTATAAAAACCAAAGATGGAAATATACTCGTGACAGTCTCCTGGAATCTCATAAAACCTTTTCCACCATAATTACTAGAATGGCTGTGGGCATGGATTAGCTAGCCTGTAGGGTTTATACTTTGCAAACTGTACCTTCAGAAATTGTACTATACCTTTACTGTACATGTGACTTTCTTATTGTGTGAGAGAGACTGCTATGCACCAAAGACATCTTTTGGCTCCTTCTGAGTCTGACTCAGTTGGGCTTACACTCAGATTTATACAGAGCAATGGAGAAAGTTCCATATCTATATTAGGTTGGAAGAGACCAGTGATGAAGGAGGCTGGCGTGCACGAGAAAGTCTCTTCAGGAAGCAAAACAAGTCTGGAGATATACATGTTTCCACATAAAGATTTTATGAGGGGGGTGATTTTCTACCCTGGTGATATTAATATACATATGACCTGTGACATAACATTTCGCTAAACATGCAGAAAAGTGTAAATGACCTTTGCTCATTGTTTTGCTATTCTGGTAGGGTGGAGGTTGGGACAAAACCACATCTTTCACTAACTAATTGAACAAAAATTAGGCACTCAGAGCTAATTTACTTAGACCAGTTGAAAATAGTTCTGAATCAGTAGGTTTTGGCCACTGCCACAATTTGAGTTTAATAGAATATGAAATAGATATCTAGAGTGAGCCTTTTGCTGGTTCAGAACCAAGCCATTGTTTCGTGTATTAGGGAAGATGCTGTTTGATAGAGCATGTGAAATGAAGAGAAGCATATTATTAAAGCTAAACCTTTCCTCCCTCTAGTATCTAGACTACTAGTTCCAGTGTACAATTTTTCTGCCTTCACTGGAAAATTTTGTTTGAAAATCATTCATCCTCCTTATAAAATAACCAGCCATTCATATCTTTCATCTAACATAGAAGCAGTGGGGTGATCAACACCTTCACAGTTAGCTGCAGATTTTACAATCCAGTTTATTGCATGTGTTATCCTTATAGTGGATATTTAAAAATACATCATAAGGGTTAATGTCTAACCCTCATTCTTTGACAAAAATCTCAGAAATCTTTGGTTTGAAAAAGCATGTGTAATTTACTTCTTTGATTATTGGAGCCACATACAATTAACCATTAGTGCTACAGTGAAAGCAAGCTAAGGTAATTACATTATTATATATTTAAAAAACTATAGCTCTATATTGACTGTCTTAATACAGCACAAAAAAAAAAAGGGCACTATACATTCACTGGTCCTGAAGTTTAGGTGTTTAATACTTCACGTTTCACAAAGTACAAATATAATGTTAATGACTGCTCCAAATAAAAATTATATATTTGCTCCAAATTTACGAATGTGTCTATCAATATAGTGCAATGACAACTTGCTTTTACAATCATTAGTTATATAATCTTTGGACTACCATCTTCTCAAAAATAGACCCCCAAAAAGATGTCTCTTGAGTAGGTAATCTTTGTTTTAAAATTGAGTGATATGTTAAACAAATTAATTTCCAGCACATTAAATTTATAAAGTATCCTTATATTATAAAATTTATGAAAATTATCCATGGAAGAAATAGAGTCAAAGGAAACAATTACTTAGTAGGATAATTTGAGCAAAATGATAAAGAATTCATTGACACAATGAGCATAACATATGGGCCCTCCTTTTCCAAGACACAGAACTCACTCACTCTGTGTAGTATGTTTTGCCTTCTTCACTAGTATTCATCTAGCATTATGTGTGAGTTTAAAACAATCACATTCTGTCTTGACATGATCATAGAAAATATATTAGCAACAAATGTGCTTCTTCCAGTTTGTGAAAAAAAGAACACAAAGGAAGGTGTGCACACTGCACTTTTAGTAAAGCAGGAATTGCTTTTGCGTACAGCTGCTTCGGAGTTTCACCATGAAGTAGTGGTATCTGTGTGAATGGATAGTTGCTGAGTGTGTGAAGAGAAACATATCCTCCCCACATGTATGTACTCTCCAAACAGTTTAGAAAGGTCGTGTGCCTTTTGTGTGTGGATCTACTATAAACTCATACTTTCTTACTCAAAAATGTAAACCTTGGAACATTTCTACAATTATTCTCAGAGAAGAAGGCTTAAATAGTTTAACAAGTTTTGTGCAAAAATCTTTTTAAAAAAGGCACATTTTTTAGATGGGATTAAGCCCTGGCAGCAAGGTCAAGGTCATACAGAGTGAACGGTTCATTTTATGTTCCCCTGGAAGAAACTGAACCCTGCAGGTGTTGTGATTTGTTCAGAGGCAATGAGCAACTGGGAATGTCTTCCTCCTGTTCCAGACTTCATGAATGTTCTCTGGCTTCACCCATCTCTCAGCAGGATGTGGTGGGAACTTAGAAATAGCATATGGCTCAGAATACCTAAGTCAATGAACCTTGCAATGCTCTTTTCCTTTTCACATGTTTTTCTTCCTTTTGGACTCATCACCAGGGTATCCCAGAAAGCTTCCTTCTGAGCAGCTTACTCCAGTGACTGCTATACAAGTTTTCATTTACAGATTTTTGTCTAGTACCTTTTTACCTCAAATAATAAGCAAAGTAAAATTAATGTGATGTTTTTCTTCCTGTTGTTGTTTGTTTGTTTTTGCTGCTGTTCTTTGCCCACTAACAACTCATATGGTAACCTTGATTGTTAATTTGGGGTCTTTATCCATCCAGAGAACATTATGGTTCCATTGTCAATAACATTTGTCACAACTATATCAGAGAGGCGATGACATTAGGGCTACATTCTTTCATGGAAACCACACAATTTCCATTCTCAAAAAATTAAAAAAATAGACCTTTATATTCATCATATTTTTCTTATTAATTTAAGTAGGCAATTATTTAATTTTTTTTTGAAATTTAGATGAATAAGAAAAAAGTTAAAATCACCTTTCACTTGTAATTTTCAGAGACTTTCCTCGGGGTTTATGTAATATGATCTTGTAAATATTTGTAGAAAAATTCACTACTAATAGAAATATCCCCTGTAGTAATTTCACTATACAATAAACTTTATTTTAAAATATTTAATTTTCTCTGACAATATCACTAATCTGAGGTCCTCATGTTGATTATCAGAAAAATAATTTATTTAAAAATTTATCATTATTCTGGACCAATTTTAATGGTTAATACAAATAACTTACAAATGTATCACTCTCAGAATGGTTTTGGACTAAGTACATGAAATCAACCCTCTCTGTAAAAAATAACTGAATATCTCTGGATAAGCTACTTAGCTGTATGCCATAGTGCAGAGGTTGAAATTCAATCAGTCAGTCAGGATAGATGAGTCTCAAAAGAATCAGGTATTTGAATTTTATAAACACAAATTTCAAGAAAAAAAAGATAATTTAATTTTAAGCTACTGCAGAATTTCTCTCAAAAGAGCCATCTTGAGAGGTTCCTGGTTGTTACAGACCACCGGCTATCTGAGAAACTGAAAGAATGACGGCAAAATTCAGAACACAGAGATTTAGTAACTTCATGTAAGTCTAACTGAACACAATTATTATGAGCTGGAAGGTTGATCAGTCAAGTCCAGATCTGCAAATCTACTGTATAGCTCAAGAAGCAATGCTTGATGCGGACAAGAGTCATATACAGAGAGAGTTCTATTGATGACTAGATGAGGGGAATGGAGCTCCATCCTGTGAACAGACTAGCATGACATAGTTTACTCTGTCCTTCCCTTAGATACTGTTACTTTAGCTGTCAGAGGGAGTGCATGAACCACACCACCAAATCTGCCCTTTCCTGGGCATGAGGGCCAGTGTCTTCACTGCAGGTGACAAGAAACAGCAGTTTCCTTCCCCTTCTCATCTACCCCAACCAGCACACACACTCACATT